GCTACTTGGGAGGCTGAGACAAGAGAATCGCTTGAGCCCAAGAGTTTGAGGTTGCTGTGAGCGATGAGGTCACAGCCAGCACTTTACCATGGGATGACTAAGTGAGACTCTGTCTCAATAAAAGCAAAACAAAAAAAAAAAGGGGAGAAATGGGTGAAGAAGTTGATAATATTTGCAAAGGAAGGATTACAATGACAGCCTATGGAGTCTGGGTAAGAAAGGAAATAAAGTCAGGAGGATGGTGACTGATGGAAAGCAGGAGGGCCAACTGACCATCGTCTTGATGAGGCTGAAGATTACTGAATAAAGTGTGTGATCCTACAATGTGAGGAGGGGGAGAACAAGTGCACTCCTGGGGTTGACCATCAAGGTCACCCAGGCTTGTGGCTAGCCCTTTAGTACTTTTGTGTAGATTAGAAAAAAGAATCCCTTCTTTAATACACTTTATTTCCTCCTGTCCAAACAGTTTACAAGAAATATTCGAATCAAATGCCTATAAAGTGAGCACATGTCTTTGAAACATGTGCCCTTGTGCCCTACACAATTTGTGCAAATGTAGGTGAAGATGCCCTGAAAGGGATGATCGTAGGAGAAGGCGGCTGAGGCAGCTGCTTGCCCTGGAAATTCCTGCCTGTGGAGATGCTCGTCCTCCCACCTGGCCCTGGAGTACCTGAGGACAGCAGCCTGCCCACACGTGCAGCCGTACCCCTCACGTCAATGTGCCCTGGGCCACGCACAGCACCTTTCACCAAAGACTCACGCTAAGGAAGGTGATTGAAAATGTGGCTTTTCTTTCACAGAAAATTATGAATCATTTATTTTTCCTTGAACTACTATCTTAAAAAAAGATACATATTATTTTCATGTTTGTTTTGCAGGTAATCACTAAGAAAGAAAAAGCCCTTGTTATTGTGTATCTGCTATATACAGATCTAGAATGATCACCCTGAACAAATGGAGATCTGGGGAAAACGACTGCTGGGGGATCCCTGAGGGTACAGTCAAAGTTTTCTTCAGGCAATCTTTTCATACACCTTACACTGTACTGTTGAGTTTGGTATTAGTAATAAATACACCTATTAATAGTAACCTATGGAGACTACTACTTAGGGTGGGATAAGAGATTCAGTAAACAAACATGTATTGAGTGTCCACTGTAAGCAAGAAGATAGGAAGGTTAAGAACATATGGACTCTGCTTTTAGAAAGCTCACGGATAAATTATAATCACTCCTGATAAATATTATGAATCAAGCATGAGAAAAGTAGACTTTAGTCTCGGCCAGCGTTATCAGAGCAGGCAGTCTCCACATTGGAGGGGATCTTTGTACTGCGTCTTCGGGAGTGAGTAGAGTTTGCTGCCAGCAAAGGCCGCAGCAGTAAGATCACAGGCGGGGAGCAGTGAGGGGGCCGGGTCAGGTGAGGGATGGTGATGAGGACACAGCATGGAAAAAGAGGAACGCATGAGCAGGGGTGGTGGGAGGTGACACTGAAGAAGGAGATTGGGCCAAACTGTGAAGGACTTTGGGGCTGTGCAAGGAATTGGCAGCACGGAGTCACAGAAAAGTTTTTAAGGAGAGGAATGACATGATCTGATTTGGCTTTTTTTCGTAGAGACAGAGCCTCACTCTATTGCCTTCCGTAGAGTGCTGTGGCGTCACAGCTCACAGCAACCTCCAACTCCTGGGCTTAGGCGATTCTCTTGCCTCAGCCTCCCCAGTACCTGGGACTACAGGCACTTGCCACAACGCCCAGCTATTTTTTTGTTGCAGTTTGGCTGGGGCTGGGTTCGAACCCACCACCCTCGATAGACGAGGCTGGTGCCCTATTCACTGACCCACAGGCGCCGCCTGATCTGATTTGTTTTCAAGGACTACTCGGGGGCAGCAAAGGCAAGCTGCTCACAGCAGAGGGACAGATTCAGGAGGTGCAGTAACCGAGACCAGATGATGAAGGTGTTTCCCTCTCCAGCAGTGTGAACAGGGCCGCAGAGGAAAGATTTCTGAGGCAGAAATGGAGGAAAGTAAGGAGAGGGAGGAGGCAAGGCTGTTTGGTGGTTTCTAGATGTGGAGACTGTGCGTAGTGTTCATTAATTCCTAAGACAGGAATATAAGAAGAGGGGCAGGTAGATGCAAGTTTATAGATTCCCTCGTAGAAAAAGCCATTAAAGGACTATGGGAGGATACTTCAAAAACAAAAACAAAAAACTCCCCACACTACTTTCTGACTACCTTTATTACTTTACAATTTACTAAATGCTACTGAGCACACCAGGGTAAGCAAACCAACAAATCATCATTCTATCTGGATAAGTATTTTTGAATTACATGAATTATAAAATCCTCTACATAAAAAAACTGAATAATTTAAACACAATTTTTTTTTTGTCCAAATGTTTTAAGCCAAGCATTTATTATTAATAGGGACATTTCCAAGATATAAGAGGAGAATGTATAAGCCTGAAGTTACATAAAATTATTTTCAGAATCAAGAAAATAGTATAGATTTAAATTAATGCTACCCACAGCTTAAACTGTAGAGATAAAAGAAACAGGCAGATTGGGGCCTACCTCTATAAGGCCAAGGATACCCCTACCCCTTACTGATCGTAGAACTGTCCCTCACTCTTTCACTCACCCACTCACACCTAATTACTAGCTGCCTGTGGTCTGGGAAGGTAACGGTAAGCAGAACAAATAGAGTTCCTGCACTCGAGAAGCTTGGGGTTTAATGGTAGAAATTAATAGTTAACAAGCCAACAGAACATAGGTGCCAATTGTGAGAAGGGCCAAGGAAGAAGTCAAACGAGGTGCTGTAATGAAGAGTAACCAGGGAAATATACATGAGATATCTGATTCAAAGAAGGTATGACTCAGAGTCAAATGAGAAGGAGCTGATGGGGGTGAGTGGGCAGAAAGACATTCTTTCTTTCTGTATTTTTTTTTTTTTTTTGAGACAGAGTCTCTTACTCTGTTGCCCTGGGTAGAATACCGTGGCATTGTAGCTCATAGCAACCTCAAACTCAGGCTCAAGTGATCCTCTTGCCTCAGCCTCCTGAGTAGATGAGACTGCAGGTACCTGCCACGACACCCAGCTTTTTCTAGTTGAGATGGGGTGTCACTCTTGCTCAGGCTGGTCTCAAACTTGTGAGCTCGGGTGATCCTCTCGCTTTGGTCTCCCAGAGTGCTAGGATTATAGGTATGAACCACCGTGCTCAGCCAGAAAGACATTCTGAACAGAAAGAACAAGGCTAGAGGTAGGGAATCTGGCAGCGGTTTGGGAGGTGGTCAGGGATGGAATCCTCTTTCAGAGTCCCGTCATGTCATCAGCACTGTGGTAGACTTGTTTTTTTAAGCATTGCTTTCTATTTAATTAAATGGTAGGTTCTGCATGTTTTTAAATCCTCACTTTTTATGTTTATATTAAATTTAGTACCTTTTCTAAGTACAAAATTAAAAAAAAAAAGTGTCGTGGATGTGTGGTACCAACCAGACCCATCTCTTTGGGAAGGAGCTGCTTATACCCACAGCTGCAGGAATTGTTGAGTGAATCAAAGATTTCAGTGGAATTTCCCTTTGGTACTTGCCCTCAGAGGAAGAAAGCTGACTACCCCAAGGTCACACCCCTCACGGCGGGTAGGAGGGAAACCAGCATCTAAGACTGGTCAGTGCAGGAGGGTAGAGACCAGAAGCTCTTATCTAAGGCAGGACAAGGGGTCACGCTGGCTCCAAAGCTCCCCAGGGATCTACTGAGGCCTCTGCTGGGACTCCATCACCTCATCCTCCCATCTTCACTCCCCTAAAGGTGCTCATCCCGAGGTGACTCCCCAGGACACTTGCTACACAGAAACTCCTGTCTCAAGAGTCTATTGCTCAGGGAATCGGGCTTAAGACTGCATGTAAATAGTTCATGTCTATTCTTAGATGTTTACAGTCAATATTGCAAAGAGCTGCTTGCAGTTCAGTATTTTCAGGGAATTTGATGATGACGATGGTGATGATGATATTGGAATATAATAGCACTTACCTGTGTCAGGCTCTATGACAAGAACTTTAAGTGCATGAATAATTCACTTAATCCTCACAAAAACTCTTAAAGATGATGCCATTATCATAATATTTAATACATTATGATTCTGGGAGGATTAAATAATTTGCCTGTAATCACATAGCTAATAAAAGGCAGAACTAAGTCTAGAATCTAGGAGCTTTTAAACTAAAGTCTGCGCTCTTAACTAGCATCTAACACACGGCTTTCCCAAGACTCACTCATTTTAGTTGTACGTTAAATTCTATACGCTGTTTCTGAGGCATCCTACGATTTTAAAGAAAACAAAACAAAGAAACTCTGGTTTTAAAGTTTGTATGCTACTCATTAAATTATATGCTTACTATTGACTTGTCATAAGAGGTTAAAATAGAAGAACTTGCATTAGTACAATTGAATCAAAATGAAAAAGGAAACTTTAAATTTTCTAAGATCCAGTTGTAAGAGGCAATAGGATTTACTACATCACTTACATGATTACAAATGTAAGTGTGGTCGGAAGGGTCTGTGGAGAAGCCAACAAAAGACAGATCCTTGCCCCCAACAATGGTTACAAACACTGAGCCCTTATCAGAAGTTGCCAAATTAGGTAATGATTTGCTAGATGCTTCCAAGGGAGCTGTGTAGCTACAAATGAAAGATAATAAATTTTAAAAACCAAGATTCTCCTATACCCCATGATTGCATTAATGTACACAGCTATGATTTAATAAAAAAAAAATTGAGATTCTCTGCAGGGGTACCTATATATAGCTAATCACAAAGCAGATTAATAGTAATTTAAAAATTAAAAAGATGAGAATATTGTGATTGGTGGAACCTTGTGTTTTTAGTCATGCATTTCCATTTAATTGTTTCCTCCTTTTGAATGTCCTTTCTCAATTGCCCTAATTTCATATGAGATTTCAAAATTTGACCTATAAAAAGAAGATCAGATAGAATTGGAGACCATACCTGTCCAATAATGAGAGGAACCACAACAGTCATAAAAAGCTGAGAAAAAATTGATGTAAAAGGCACAGTAGAGGATGAGCCAAGCTGCAAAATAAGAAAACAGATGTTAGAATTGCTTTGAATCCGTTATCCAATATTGGTGCTAATTAAATCACAACACAAATGAATTCTTTCATATGAATCTATTCTCTCAACTTTGGTAGCTTTCTACAAAGAGCAAGAGGAGTTACCTTGAATTTTCTTTTTTTAAATTTTATTTATTTATTTATTTATTTATTTTTTTGAGACAGAGTCTCAAGCTGTCCCCCTGGGTAGAGTGCCACGGCATCACGCTCACAGCAACCTCCAACTCCTGAACTCAAGTGAGTCTCCTGCCTCTGCCTCCCAAGTAGCTGGGACCACAGGCGCCTGCCACAACGCCCGATCTTTTGGTTGCAGCCATCATTGTTGTTTGGCAGGCCTGGGCTGGATTGGAACTCGCCAGCTCAGGTGTACGTGGCTGGTGCCTTAGCCGCTTGAGCCACAGGCGCCGAGCCCCTGAATTTTCTAAATTCAACACACAAAACAATCTGCTGAGTATTTGAATGTATAATTTTTATTGAGAGACTAACATTAAAATAATGTCTGCAAACTGCTTATTGAACACATTTCTGAATTATAAAGTCATTCTGTGTTCATGCTGTCTACAGAGGGTACCCAAAAATGTATACACAATTTAAGAGATATTACCTAGGTATTAATTTTCAAAGTTGAATTGAAGGTATCATTACCAGTCAAGTGTACCTAGATATGCTACTTATACACGTGTTACCTACAATTAGTATACTTTTGGGGAATGATTGATTTTACTTCCAATAAGATATCTTAAAATATGTATATATATATATATGTATATATATATATGTTTTGGTACCCCCGGTATAATCACAGGGTATGATATTTCATCTGCAATCGTGGTTTACATAATTTTTATTTCACCTGTCTGTAGATACCTAAAATAAACAAATATGGCTCAGTTTCTGATCAAGATAATATTTTTATTTGTTTAAATGAACTAGTTTCTAACCTTCCTACTCCTTCAAAACAAAGATAACGAGTCTCAGACCCTTTAGAGCTTAATCTTGCACATAGTCTAGCAAAGGTGAAATCCTGAAGCATAACTTATTTTTCAACCTAAAACATCAACATACCTCTCCTAAATGTATATGGCATAACGCTGATCGTGATTCCTATTTTTCTCCTTCATTTTTCTGTTTCTTTCTTTGCTAACAATTGCGATCTCTGCTTCATAAAGAATTTATTTCCTATAGCACAAGAGTGCTTACCTGAGCATACAGTAACTAATACATTCACGTTAGCCGCAATCAGCATGAATCTCTAAGTCTTCCTACTAACTTTATAATGTCTTTCAAAATCCCCTCTGGACAAACAATACCCTATTCTATATTCTAGAGATGTTTCTCTCTTTCACGAGTCCCTTTTGCAACCAGATTCCCCCAAATCATCAATAATTCTCTCCCTGGCCCTTGGAACTTCTATCTTTCCCCTTCAGACCAAACCTCAATTTTCATGTTTACCTAAGTTTAGCTGAACTTGGAAATATCTTTTGGAGAATAACTTTTGTGGAAGGACATTGAGGTGGTGATGACTGAAGGCAGAGAATATCAAATAAAACAAATCAAATATTCAAATAAATTAAGTCAATAGCTCTGCATGAAGTGATAGGGGAGAATTGTAACCAGTAAAAACTCAGTGAAGGGGGTCAGGCAGAACAAGTGAAACCCGTGAACCACAGAGACAGGATCCCAGATGTGTTAAATGTCATGTGGTTGTTAGATGTTTCTTTTTATGCAACACCAAATATTACAAGCTAATAATTATACCTGATCTTACAGCAACTATGACTTCGAATCATACAGTATTTAACAAATACATTCTCTTCACAAACATTAACCCTAAGGATGTTCCTGGGGCAAGATTTGGAAAAAAAAAAAAAAAAATATATATATATATATATACACATACATATATATATATATATATAAAAAAAACAGAAAAACCAAGGCATTAGATGAATAGAAAATGAAACTTTCAAAAACAAAGTTTTCAAATTCAAAAATGTTCACCTCAGTACTCTATTCATAAGGTTTACATTGCTTAGAGAAAGGCAGCAGGATTCAGAGTTAAATCCTCATGTAAAAGGTGACAAATCCCGCCTGGAATCTCATGAGTGATCTCACTTATCCCTGGCTCCTCTATCTATCTCAACTTTATTAACATGTTTAAAAGAACATGTCACACTACATTCCCCCATAAGTCTTCCAAAAATAAAGAAAAATCTATTTCAATTTTTGTTTTCTAGTTTGTTTTCTGAGACAGTCTCCCTCTGTTACTGTGGGTAGAGTGCCCTGGCATCAGCCTAACTCACAGCAACCTCAAACTCCTGGGTTCAAGTAATCCTCCTGCTTCAGCCTCCCAAGTAGCTGTGACTACAGGCAACGACCACAGTGCCCAGATAGTTTTTCTATTTTTAGTAGAGATTGGGGTCTTGCTCTTGCTCAGGCTGGTCTTGAACTGCTGAGCTCAAGCAATCCACTAGGATTACAGATGTGAACCACCACACCGAGCCTTCAAATCTGAATTGTTTTTAAAAATATTATGCATTTTAATTCTGCTGTCTTTCCCATCATTAACATTGGCATGTTCAATATTTGGAAAATTCTTGTTTCTAGAAGACAGTGGTACAAGCCTATGGGTTGAAGAAAAGGTTGTCTATGATCTCTGAGGTCCCTCTGTCCTCTAGAAGGCCTATGATCTCTGGAACACAGGCGAGAGCAGCCTTCCTGGGAGGCCCGGTCAGATCAGAGATGGAAGCCATCTAACCAGGGATATAATTAATGGGGTACAAGAAGCCAGATGAGGTATGGCAGAGAAGCAAGGGAGGAAACCCCGCAGGACGGCTCCCTTAGAAGTGGCTCTGGGAGCAGGGAAACCTCAGCACTGCAGTCTAATTTGGCATAAGTCCTTTCTTTTGAATCAGCCACCAGACCTGTCGCCACGGTCAGTGTGAAGATGCAGAGAGACCCTTAGGGAAGTTACTGAAGCTATGAAGTGTGCCCTGGCATCCATAAGACAGAACAGCAAGCATCTGGCTCAGGGCAGCTTAGGAAAACAAGACTAGAAAAGCGTAAGACCCAATCATTTTAGATGCAGAACTGACTTTAAAGCATTAAGGAAATACGCTGCCAGGGATATTTGGTTCTTTGTGTTTTAAAGATAAAATAATGTTGTGGTTTCTATTGTAAGGAGCAATGTATTTATTGTAAGAAGCATCAACAATTTGCAGGTATAGCCTGCAGGTTCAGAATAACCCTGCAGGAAGCAAGTGCTCGGGGCTTGTCTCAGCTACTTTGGCAGATTCAGAGGTAGCAGGTCTCACACTGCCAGCCTGTGCTTGACGATACTGCACATTAAACAATCCAGTCACTGGCTCCTTTCTTGTAGGACTTTGTTGCAAGGACCTTAAATATGTAGGACTTTAAAGCAAAAAAACTTACCATGAGGTTGGGGTGGGCAGAAATGACTCACAAAAATTCAGTATGTGTGACTTGAGGATCTTTGTGCTTAATCATCCCAGGGGTCACTGAGTGCTTCCTGTGAGCCAGGGGCAGGTTCCAGGCATTGGGGTGACAATAGTGGACAGAACACGAAACCCGTCCTGTCAGGCAGCTGCGTTTTGAAAGTTGAGGTCTGTGTGCATGCCTGCCCATCACAAATTCACAAGTATCGCTCCTGTCTCTGGAATGTCGCTTCCCCTGCTTACAACTGGAAAAGTTCTAGTGTTTTCCAAGACTGGGTTCAAGCATTACTTCTTCAGGAATTCTGTCCAAACCCTCTTCCCAAACTCCAACTTGGCCATGCCCTCTCTTGTGAATCAATGAGAGGTGATGAGTGATGGCAGAGAATGTGAAGTAAAACCAACCAAACATTCAGATAAATGAAGTCGACGGCTCTGAATGAAGTGCTATGGGAGAACTGTTTTCACTGACTTATGCATTAATGGTTTACCAAAATCTGTTTCCAGTGCAGAATCCTTGGCTGCTGCCAGGAGTCTGGGTGCTCCGGCAGGTCGGAACGCCACCTTAGTCACACTCATGTGCCTTGGGCGAGCAGGGTGACTGTGTGCTACATCGAGGGCAGTGGTTTTCAAACTTCAGCAACAAGAGGGCTTATTAAAACAAATTGCCGGGCCCCACTCTCAGAGGTTCTGCCTCGGAAAGCCTGGGAGGGTGAGGCAGGGTGGTAACAATTTGCCTTTCTAACAAGGCCCCAGGTGCTGCTGCTGGAGCCACTGACTTGGGGTTCACACTATGGGAACCACTCATTTAGTACAGTTAGTGCTCAGCAAAAGTATGTCAATTAGGGGATGACTACAACACACAGGTAGGAAGAGTGTGTCTATGTTTTCTTTCCATCCTTCTAACTTCATTTAGACAAATTACATCAAATCCCTACTTAGCTCACAGACCCAAGAAAGGATCCTTAGCTTGGTCTCCCTCCCACTGTCTCCTGTGACTACAGCAGCAATGTTGATTGTGCAGACACGGCTTTAAATGCTTCATGCCTGGCGAGGGACTGAATCCTTACAGCAGCCCTTGAGGTGGGTCTCATTATTACCCCCATTTTCCTATGAGGCAATAGTGGCGCAGCACAGCACTAAGTATAAATAACTTGGACAAGGTCACCACAGCCTGGGAAATATCAGAGCCGGGATCTGAACCCAGAAGTGCAGCTCTAAAGCCCTCACACTGGGTCCTCACCTCTACTACCCGTTCATTACACACGGCACAGAGCAGTGATGGGGGGCAGCAGGGGAAGCCAAAGCTGGGCTCCCCTTTTCTGCCCATGTGATGGAAGGAGAAGGTATGGGGGGGTGGGGCTGCATGGAGATGGGGGACTGCAGGGCAGGCACGCAGGCAGGCAGGCAGGAGCCAGAAGAAAGAGAAAAAATAAGAGAGAAAAAGTGGGGTGCAAGGCTCGATAAGAATGATTCATGGTGCAACCTTCCTCAACTGGGGTTCCTG